GCGCGAGCGTCGTCGCGCGCGCATGCCGGAATCGTTCGAAACCGTTTGGTTTCGGATGGATTCCGAAAACGGGTGTCCAAAAACCATAAGACAAACACCTGGTTTCGAATCGCCGGTTTCCAACAAAAACGTGCGCGCGGTCTTGCGAATTCTTAAGAACACCATGAGTTTTCAACGTGTTCATAACATGCTACCAAATGGGTTTCGCGCGCGGATGTCGGCATCGTTCGAACGCCCTTGCACGCGTGCTGGGGTTGCACGATCCGTGTCAAATAATACCATGCGAGCCACTCGCACGTCTGCCGCGCGCGCATTTCGAATTTCGTTTTAAACACTGCATCACCGACCCGAAGACGCCGTCATTGTCGTCGGCGCGATCAGCATCGGAGCCGTCACTGGCTGCCCCGTCGTCGCTGTCAGCCTCGTCACCACCACCGCTACTATCATCATCGTGTCTACCGTTGTTGACGTTGCCATGCTACCGCGCCCGCCCAAGTCGCCGACTCGCACTGAAGTGCCCGCTGGGATGTGCCGACCGGTCACAGGGACGGCCGCGAACCGGTCGGTTCGGTTGCGTCGGTGTCGGTTAGAATCGAACGGTTCGGTCGGTTCGGTTGTTGCGGAGTCCCTGCGTCGTCGCGCCCTCTTCGGTTACTTCGGTTGATTCGGTTTCGCCACGGGCGCCTCGCTGGCGCCTCGTGCCGGCCCAGGGGATCGAATCGGCCGCCGGTTTCCACTTCGGTTTCGCTGCCCACGGATTCGCGCCGATCTGATTCCGCTTGGCCTTTCCCTTTGAAGAAAAAGGGAGGAGGAAGAGGAGGAGGAGGAGGTGGAGGAGCAGGAGGAGGAGAGGAGCAGGAGGAGGAGGAGCAGGAGCAGGAGCAAGGAGGTTGGTTGGCTGATTGGCCGGATGCGCGCAGTGGCGCATCGTTGGCCGGATAAATCTTGCCCCGTGGCCAGGCTTCGAAAACGCTTCTTCCACGGGAATTCCGGAGGCTCCCCGGAGGCGCCGAAGGCCCCGCGGGGAGAGAAAACATTTTTTCTGGCCTCGAAACATTGTTTTTCGGCTCGTGGGGGTTCCGGAAGCTCCATGGAGGCGCCGAAGGCTCCGGGGAGAGAAAAACAATTTTTCAGCCCCCGAAAAATGTTTTTCGGCTTCCGGGGCCTCTGGAGGCTCCCTGGAGGCGCCGAAGGCCCCGGGGGAGAGGAAAACAATTTTTTGGGTCTCGAAAAATGTTTTTATGGCTTTCCGGAGCTCCAGAGGCTCCCTGGAGGCGCCGAAGGCCCTGGGGAGAAAAACAATTTTTCAGGCCTCGAAAAATGCTTTCGGGGGCTCTGGAGGCTCCCTGGAGGCGCCGAAGGCCCCGGGGAGAGAAAAACAATGTTTCAAGCCTCGAAAAATGTTTTTTCGGTTCCGGGGGGCTCCGGAGGCTCCCTGGAGGCGCCGAAAACCCGGGGAGAGAAAAACAATTTTTCGGGCCCCGAAACATGTTTTTTCGGCTGCCGGGGGCTTGGGCGGGGGCGCATGCTGGCTGCGCCGCCGGGGCCTTGGGCGGAACATCTATGGGGCCACGAAACTTGCGAGGGGTTCGCCGAAGGTCCTTGCGGGAGCGCGCGCGGGCTGCGCCGCTGGGAATTTTAGCGGAGCTCTGATGGGGCCATGAAGCGTGTGAGGGGTGCGCCGTCGCGGGGAGCGAGAGCGCGTGCTGGCTGCGCCACTGTGACCCTGCAGTTCGGTTTTCGCGTTCGGTCGGTTTCGGTCGGCTGATTCGGTTCTGCAGGCCCCCTTTCGGTTTCGATCGGTTTCGGTTTCGTCATCGGTTCGGTCGGCTCTCGGTTTCTCGGCAACTCGTGGCCGCCCATGGGTCAGCGCCATCGCGTTCGCGTCGGTCGCGCCAATTTAGCTGGCCGCTGCGCGCGCGATCGTGCGCGGGCTAGCACGGCCGCAGAGATGCACCAGCCAACACGCAACACTCATCGCAGTCGTTCCCGCATGGGTTTTGCAAACCAAGTTGCGGGTGTGTGGGTGGGATGATTGCGCGAACATTGGAGTTGGCAGTTTCAACTTCGGCAAGTGAAATACACCATGCGGTCTGTACCGCGTATGTCGGTTAACAGTTGTTGCACGCCATGGGGTGTCCAACATCTATTGCACAACCTATTTTGCACAACATCGGGATGTTCCACATAGTTTGCCACAATGTTTGGGCTAGGCGCTGGCTAAGATACCTGGATGTCATGTTGAGGCGCTTCGGGTAATCTACGTGGCTTCGTACTTCCAGATAATAGTGAGTGGGCGGCGAGGTCGCCGGCAGTCTGCGAGTCTCTCAGGTGCAGCTATACATACATATATATACCCACATATACATGTACATGTATATATATATATATGCACTTAACATACATGTATGCTTAATCATTGAATACATACGACAAACGCGTTACACCATGAGCCCGCCGCAGGCCTCTATTTGTTTGTCAAAACAACGTGGGTTGGTCACGGTTGGGTCGCTGGTGGGTCGCGAGGTGGGTCGCATAGTGAGTCGCATGGCGGGTCGCGGGGGAAACGACGACACGATGACAACATCAACACACAACAACATATTCCGCACCACGGATTCACATTTCACCCGCGCAAATGCGGATGGTGTGAAACAGTTCGGCCCTTCATGTGGACAATCGCCTGGGGAACTACGAGTCCGCCACCTGTACAGCTGCTGCAACCGTGGAAGACTGCGCATGCGGGGCCAAGGCGAAAGCCAGATTTTGCAGTCGACCCGCCGTCCATCCACGTACCGCCGTTTTGGGAATGTCGCGCTATCGATTCACACGTGCGGAATCCGCAAGAGAGATGCCCACACGGCCCCATTCACACGCCTGGTGTTGCGATGAGGAGGTGTTGGTGATGCGCAGCCGATGCGGGGGTGGAGGAAGGGAGAGGAGGAGGAGGAGGAGGAGGAGGAGGAGGAGGAGGAGGAGGAGGAGGAGGAGGAGGAGGAGTAATCGAGACAGGATCCTATGAGTTCCGGGGAACGCCCGCCTTACACGACCCAGAATGAAGGACCACGTCCGGTCTAGGTCGGGGGGCCTTTTCGTTGCCGAGGCTTTCTGTGGCCAGCAGCTGCCTCTTCGTTCCTCTCGTGGCGCTGCTCATGCTAACGCAATGGGCGATGAATGACGATGATTGCAGAACGCCCCAGCCGCCCGTCCCTCTCACCCCCCCTCCTCCCCTCTCGTTGTTCTTGCCTCTCTCCCCCCCTCCCTCGCGCCGTCCCGGAAAGGGAAGGGGGGGACTTGACGTTTGGTGTTTTTCGCTTCGAGGGGAGCCTAAACAGCGGACGCACGCTTCGTCGGCCAGCAGCTGACCTCATGATTCCGCAAGGGGCGCTGCCGATGCCGACGCGGGTTCACCGAGCATAGCCTCAGGGGGAGGGGGACGGGGAGGGGGAGATGATGATAATAGTAAACATAATGATGATGCTGATGATGGTGATGATGCTGATGGTGATGGTGATGGTGATGGTGGTGATGGTGATGGTGATTGTGATGGTGGTGACTGTGATGGTGATGATGCTTGTGAGGATGTTCTTGATGATTGTGAGGATGTTGTTGTCGATGTTGATGATGTTGATAATGATACTGATGATGTTGATGATGCTGACGATGCTGATGGTATCAATGATGGTGATGCGAAGACTGATGTTGATGATGATGATGCTGATGATGGTGGTGATGATGCTGATGATGCTGCTGCTGACGACGATGCTGATTCTGATAGTGATGGTGATGTTGATGCTGATGATGGTGCTGCTGCTGCTGATGATGATGGTCATCATGTTGTTGGTGATGATGATGAATCGGATGATGAGGATCATCATGATGATGCTGATGAGGATGCCGATGATGAGCATGATGATCATGATGCTCATGATGAGGGTGATGATGAGGATGATGAAGATGATGATGAGGATGACGATGATGACGATGATGATGATGATGATACTGATGCTGATCCTGATAATGATGGATGGTGGTGATGGTGATGATGATTATGATGCTGCTAATGGTCCATGTGACGGTGATGATGTTGATGATGATTATGATGATGGTGTTGATCGTGATGGCGATGGTGATGATGACGATGTTGATGATGATAGTGCTGCTGATGATGATGATGATGCTGATGATGATGATGATGATGCTGAGCTTGATGCTGAGCTTGACCCTGATGCTGATGTTGATGCTGATTATGATGTTGTTGATGATGCTGAGTATGCTGATGATGGTGATGATGATGATGATGATGCTGGTAATGCTGACGATGATGATGAGGATGCGGATCAGGATGAGGACGAGGATGAGGATGCGGCTGATGCTCTGAGTGAGGATGATGATGCAGATGCGGATGCGAATGAGGATGGGGATGAGGATGAGCATGATGATGATGATGATGATGCTAATGATGATGCTGATGATGATAATATTCATGCTGATGGTTATGAGTTTGCTGTTGATGATGATGACGATGGTGCTGACGGTGATGATGATGGTGATGACGATGGTAGTGGTGATGATAATGATGGTGATGATGGCAACAATAATGTATGAATCGTATTAATAGTGATGGTTGTTGTGGGAAAAATGATTATGTTGAGGACGAGCATGAGGATCAGGATGAGGAGGACAATGAGGTTGCTAATGATTGGTGATGGTGACGGTGATGCTGGTGATGATTGGTGATGGTTGACGATGATGCGGATGGTGGTGGTGATGATGATCATGATGATGGTGACGGTGTTGGTGCCTGTGATGCTGATGCTGATGGTGATGATGATGGTGGTAACGGTGTTGATGAGGATGATGATGGATGAGGAGCATGAGGATGCGGATGAGGCTAAGCAGAATGAGGATCAGGATCAGTATCAGGAGGAGGAGGAATAGGAGCCTTACCCCTGAGAGCCCCTCCCCTCCCCTTCCTTCCCCCACCCCCTCGCCGCCAGGTTCTCCCGCTGCTCGGCGAGTGCGGCGCCCATTCTGCAAGAGGTTGAGGTCTCCCACGGGCTGGGTATGGCTGGGGGAGGGCAGCAGGAAAGGATAAAGAGGAGGGAGGGAGATCGAGGAGGGAGAACGAGGAGGGGGAGAGAGAGGAGGGACAAAGAGGTGGGAGTAAGAGTGAGAGTAGGAGTAAGAGTCCAGGACGGTGTCCAGTCATCCGACTTATGGACATCCAGGGCTTGAAAAGGTAGCCCGGCACTCGAACTCGAGACCCCCGTCTTTCAGCCAAAGTCGGGGGTCTCAAAAAGAGCGAATTTCCGTAGAATTCCAACATCTTTCCCACCCCGAGAGGCCTCCTACGAGGCCTCCTCCTCCCTCCTACATCCGTCATCCTCATGCCTCTTCCTCTCCCCCCTCCTCGCGCCCGCTGCTCGCGCGTCCATTCCCCCAAGAGGTCGGAGAGCCGGCGTAGTCGGGCGATATGCCCCTCGTCGGCGAGGCGGGCCGGGGGCGCCGCTCAGGGACCGTTCGGAGACATTGTGGTCGTCGTCGCCGCCGCCGCCGCCGCCGCCGTCGTCGCCGCCGCCGTCGTCGTCGTCGTCGTCGTCGTCGTCGTCGTCGTCGTCGTCGTCGTCGTCACACCACTGTTCGGCGTTTCGAGGCTCTGGGACCGCTGGGGGGGGCGGCCCCGAGCCTCGAAACGCCGTGCCGTGGTGTGGCGTTTGGGGCTCGCCCGCGTCCACCACGTGGTCGCGGCCAGCACACAGCAGCAGTAAGGCGACGCATGCGGTGCCGTCCGCGGCGCCACGAGGCGTGACGCCGCTGGGACCGTTCAGGGGCAACCTGTGCTTGGAGGGGACGGGGGACTTCCAGCCAGCGCTGACCTCCACTGACTGATTTCTTCCATCTGGGCGATTTCCTGTGATTTCGGCCCCGTCGTCGGGCCGCGGGGGCCACCCAAAAGTTGACCCCGGGCGAAAATTCGCCCCCACAGATTCGGTCGGGACTTTTATGGCCCCTGGCTGACACAAAAAAACACATCGGCAGTTGTCTCGCGGTGCGCATGGGCGCGAAGAGTGGGGCTGGGCGCGTGGGGGCGGCGGCCCAAGCGGAGGGTGGCGACTCGGGTCAGGGAAGGAAGAGATATTGATACACGCCAGTCGTTGAAAGTAGTTTAGAGTGAGGGGGCCGAACGGTTATTCATTGTCCCTGGGTGCGTGGTTGAATAAGGAATTCGTCGTCAGAATTCTGCTTGTTGCGTTGTTGTTGATGCTGTTGTTGGTGGTGTTGTTGGTGTTGTTGTTGTGTTTGTTGTTGTTGTTATTGTTGTTGTTGTTGTTGTTGTTGTTGTTGTTGTTGTTATTGTTGTTGTGGTTATGGTTGTGGTTGTGGTTGTTGTTGTTGTTGGTGGTGGTGGTGTTGTTGTTGGTGTTGTTGTTGAATTTTCATTTCTGAAGAATAATTATAGTTGATCCCCCCTCACCGGTGCACATTGCTTTTCTCAGTTAAAGTGTGCCCCTCGACGCTCGCACCCTGTTTTTCAATAGGGAAAGTCTTGGTGCTCAAACTGTGCACCTGGCCCCCCGGACTATAACAACAAGGGCTCCCGTTTGAGATTTCCTCCAAATTTACTCAGGACCCCCCCCTCCCGTCTGAGACTTCCTCTCAATTTACTCAGGAACGGCGCTCCCGCTTGAGACTTCCTCATACTTTAAGCCCGGGTCAAACTGGGTTGTTGCTCCCCCAGACTACAACAACAACGGCTCCCGCCTGAGGCTTCCTCCAACTTTACTCAGGGCCCCCGCTCCCGCCTGAGACTTCTTCCCAATTTACTCAGGATCGGCGCATCCGCCTGCGACTTCCTTGCAATTTAGTCAGGACACCCTCTCCAGGCTGAGGCTTCCTCACAATTTACTCAAGAACGGCGTTCCCGCTTAAGATTTCCTTGCCTTTAGTCTAGACCCCCGCTCCCGCCAGGAATTGCGCTCTCGCCTGTGACCTGTGACTTTTTCGCAGTTTACTCAGTAATAGCGCTCTCTACGCTCAGGCACCACCCTCGCGCCAAGGACGCCGTCACACTTTACTTGGGAATCGAGCTCTCGCCTTATTCAGGCATCCCGCGTGAATGTTTTACCCGCCCGACCCGCCCGTGAGAGGATCGCCCGCCCGTCGTGGGCTGCCGCCCGAGACTTCTTTGTGGAATGGCGCTTTCGCCTAGGACTTCTTCGAACGGTCGCACTCTTACCTTCCTGCTCCTCCCTCCTCCAGGGCCGCCTGCTCCCCCCTTCCGATTCCCTTTCCCTCGCCTCCAACACCTCGCCGAACAGCACCAGAGGTGTTACATGGCGTTGTTAATGGCGCGACCGATGGCGAAGCCTTTGTTAACCTGTGTTGGCATGGCTGGCGCAAGCCATGGCGCAAGCCGAATCGCAATTCACGGCACAAATCATCGTCGTCCCTCCCTCTTGCCCCTCTAATCCCTCCTTTCCTCCGATCCTTTCGTCCTCTCTTTTTGTCTTGCCCCTTTCGTTTCCCTGTTTAGGTCAGCGAGCGAAGAACGGTATAACATAAACTTTTTCGCTGTCGGGGGCGCCTGTCCCTGGGCGGCTGGAAAGTTTATACCCATACGGTGCCACCGTAAGGGCATACACTTTCCAGCCGCCCAGGGACAGGCGCCCCCGACAGCGAAAAAAAATATGTTATACAGTTCTTCGCCCGTTAATTAGGAGCTTCTCTAATTACACGTGGTCAGGAAAGAATATTACATTACCCCCTAAAAGGGGATACGATCGAAAACGAAGAGGGCGGGTATCCAGGGTTTTGGGATATGCCTAGTGAATGGCACGCGGGCCGGTAGGACCGAACAGTCTAGGAATTATTGTTGTTGGTGTTGTTGCTGTTGTTGCTGTTGTTGCTGTTGTTGTTGTTGTTGTTGTTGTTGTTGTTGTTGTTGTTGATTTTGCAGTACTGAAAAATAATTGTTGTTGATCCGCCCCTCCGGTGCACATTGTAGTTTTTTGAATTGAGATGCCCTTCTCGGGGCTCGCACCCGGTTTTTTTACCAGAGAGAGTCTTAAGGCTCAAACTGTGCCTTTGGCCCCCGGGTTACAACAACAACTGCTCCCGCCTTAGATTCCCTCGCAATTTAGCCCGGATCCCCGCTCCCGCCTGAGACTTCCTTGCATGTTGTTAGGGAAGCGCGCTCTCGCTTGAAGGGACTTCCGCACAATTTGTTTAGGAATTGCTCTCTCGGCGCTCTGGAGTCGCGCTTTCGCTGGAGACTCGCTTGCAATGTACTCAAGAATGGCGCCCTTGCGTTAGCATTTCCCGCAATTGGCTCAAGCGCCGCGCCTCCAACACTCAGGCACCCAGGAGTGCGCTCACGCTTAGGACTCCCTCGCAGATTAGTTGGGGATCGGGATCTCGCTGCCCTTCGTGGCCCGGTAGCAGCCCTTCGTGGCCCCTTCGCTGCCGTTCGTGGCCCCGTTGCAGCTCTTCGTGGCCCCCTCGCTACCCTTCGCGGCTCCATTGCAGCTCTTCGTGGCCCCCTCGCTGCCCTTCGTGGCCCCGTTGCAGCCCTTCGTGGCCTCCTCGGTGCCCTTCGTGGCGCCGTTGCAGCCGTTCGTGGCCCCCTCGCTGCCTTTCGTGGCCCCGTTGCAGCCCTTCGTGGCCCCCTCGCTGCCCTTCGTGGTCCCGTAGCAGCCCTTCGTGGCCCCCTCGCTGCCGTTCGTGGCCCCGTTGCAGCCCTTCGTGGCCCCCTCGCTGCCGTTCGTGGCCCCGTTGCAGACCTTTCGTGGCCCCCTCGCTGCCCTTCGTGGCCCCGTTGCAGACCTTTCGTCGCCCCCCTGCTGCCCTTCGTGGCCCCGTTGCTGCCCGTCGTGGTCCCCTCGCTGCCCTTCGTGGCCCCATATGTGTATGCCCTTCGTCGCCCCCGCTCGTTCGCGCCCGTCGTGGTTCCATATGCATGCCCTTCGTGGCCCCGCTGACGCCGTTTGTGGCCCCCTCGATGCAGTTCGCGGCCCCGTTGCTGCCCTCACTGGCCCCGTCCTTGCCTTCCGCGGTCCAATATACGTATGCCCTTCTTGGTCCGCGCTCGTTCGCGCCCGTCGTGGCCCCATGTGCATGCCTTTCGTGGTCCCGCTGTCGCCCTTTTGTGGCCCCCTCAATGTCCTACGTGGCCCAGTTGCTACCCTCAGTGACCCCTGTCGTTGTCTTGTGTGGCCCCGCATTATCTGCCCTTCGAGGCCCCCGCTCGTTCGTGCTCTTCGTGGCTCCATACGTGTTCCCTTCGTGTCCCCGCTGTCGCCCTTCGTGGCCTACTTCGTGCATTTCGTGGCCCTGCTGTCGTTCTCTCTTTTGCTTTCGGTTTCGCTCGTCGTCGTCGTCGCCGCCGTCGCCGTCGTCGTCGATGTCGTCGTCGTCGTCGACGTCGTCGTCGTCGTGGTCTGTCCCCTGTCCGTCCCTCTTGGGGTCAGGTTGCCGCCGATCAGCGCTGCCGCTGGCCAGGCCGACGGTCCGCGGCCGCCCCGCCGCTTGCCAGGGCCCGGCCTGCAGGGAAGAAGTGTATACCCCCCAACAGGGACACGATCGAACACGAAGAGGGCGGGTACCGAGGGTTTGTAAAATACGCGTTCACGGACACTCGGGCAGATAAGAGCGAACAGTCTTACAATATTTGCTGTTCCCGGCGGAGCCGGGTGAAATCCCGTGCCCGCCGGCTGACTGATGACTGACTGACTGAACGTCAGGGGACAGCTCGGGAGACACATTTCAAACCGCCCGCGGGAGCGCAACCCGAACGCGCAACCGCAACCGCAACCGCAACCGGGCGACACATTTCAAAGCGCCCGCGGGCGCGCAGCCGCAACCGCAACCGCAACCGGGCGACACATTTCAAAGCGCCCGCGGGAGCGCGCAACCGCAACCGCAACCGCAACCGGGCGACACATTTCAAAACGCCCGCGGGCGCGCAACCGCAACCGCAACCGGGCGATACAATTCAAAGCGCCCGCGGGAGCGCGCAACCGCAACCGCAACCGCAACCGGGCGACACATTTCAAAGCGCCCGCGGGCGCGCAACCGCAACCGCAAGCGGGCGACACATTTCAAAGCGCCCGCGGGAGCGCGCAACCGCAACCGCAACCCGGCGACACATTTCAAAGCGCCCGCGGGAGCGCGCAACCGCAACCGCAACCGCAACCGGGCGACACATTTCAAAGCGCCCGCGGGCGCGCAACCGCAACCGCAAGCGGGCGACACATTTCACCCCGCCCGCGGGAGGGCGCAACCGCAACCGCAACCGCAACCGGGCGACACATTTCAACCCGCCCGCGGGCGCAACCGCAACCGCGACCAGGCGACAAATTTCAACCCGCCCGCGGGAGGGCGCAACCGCAACCGCAACCGCAACCGGGCGACACATTTCAAAGCGCCCGCGGGCGCAACCGCAACCGCAACCGGGCGACACATTTC